GTCGGACGGGGGATCAGCGCAGCCCTGGTGGGAGGGGGAGAAGCAGCTGCCCTCCGTGTTGTCTGGGGAGTCCGGTGAAAGCTGCTCCCTCGCTCCAGAAGTTGTTGTTCTGTCACTTCGGGCACTGAATAAAATGCCCAAACGCCAAGTGTGAGGGGTAATACCCGCTTCTCATCTTAAAACAGCGATAAACGTCTCTACCCGGCTGTTTCACGATACCGTGTTAAAAAAAATATCGAAACTCAGAGGCAGTCCTCACTAATGCAATGGCAGTGTCAATATGAGAAAGCAAATTCAGTTTTGGAATTTAAATCCTTACTGGCATTGTGTTTAGTATTTTTTTTATTGAAGAAATATAATCAGTGACGTCAAAAAAGCCAGAAGCAACAGGTTGTTTTCTGCTCCAAAAGACAAGAAATTAAATAAACTGGTACTGTTTTTTCCCATTTTGTGTAGCTTTATGCTATATTGTTTGTTTGTTTTTCCCCAGATAATTTTTATTTAAAATTTTGTGATTAATCTGCTGAAACCCTTTAAGGAGAAATTTGATGCTTATCTTTTACAATGATTTCCCTCAAATGACAGAGGGAGTTTCCTGTGGCCCTCCCTAGGTTGAATCACTTCGATACAAGCTGCTGCTGTTGCCGAAAGAGTTGGTCCAGCACACCAGCCCATTCTGCCGTGCGGGCAGTGGGTGCTTATGCTGGCACAGAAGCTGGGAAGAAGGCATAAGTAGGACACAGTGCTTAGAGGATCTTAAAAATCTGTTACTATAAATTCGTAATATAGAAAAGGTAGAGGAGAGTTTTGCTTGTGTTAAAAAAAACCCACCTTGATATTCTAACTGGATCTTTGTAAAGCAAAGTGTCTGAATAATTATACTCTGTTTCTTCCACAAGAAAAAAATAAATACTGTTTTTAAAAAAGAACTTTTTTTTAGAAAATACAACTTGTGAATTAATATTAAATATGTAACAATAGCTGGGCTGCAGATTTTATTTAGGTCTTTAGATAGCAGAGGTAAGATTTGTCATGAACTTCAATTAGTTCTGGATTTCTTTGCCTTTTGCTTTGACTCTTTCCTGAGTCACTGGGACAATGAAAGGCAGAAGCACTGTGCAGAGCATGTCTGTTGGTGGCACTGAGATATGTAGTTTCCCCCAGGCGGGAATCATTTTCCCTTTGGAATGACTTTGTGTATGTTTGAGTTCAGCTAATTAAACAGTTATCTTGGGTGACTTTCTATGGCTTTTTTATCTTGTCAGGTGTTATTTAGTGGCTAGAGATTATAATTCTTAAAAACTAGGACAAACCTTTCTATTTTAAAGGTTAGGAGATTTCCACCCTTTTGAATAGAACAAGTGTATTTTCATAAAACTGCATTTCCCACAGTGCACAAGGGCTTTCTAGGCTGGGTCAGCTGATCTGGATTGTGAAATATTCCTTATTTCCTGTCCAAGGTGCATGGACGTGAGTCGTGTGTACGAATGTCTCATCTTTCTTTGGTCAGGTGATTTAAAGGCTGCGGACCAGAATTGTGATTTAGAACAATGTCAAGAAACTGAGCTGTCCACTAGCTTGGTATTTGGAAAACTGCTTCATTTGGGAGAAAGTGATGTCATAAAGAAGTAACATACTGCAGTCTGCTCTGTCAACTTCATGGGAAAAGGTAGAGAGAATCTTGGTCTTTACCTTTTGTACTAGACCTTTATCTTTGGGGTTTTTTCAAGTTACTGATTTTGCTGTATGTTATTTAAGAGAGTCGTTGGATTTCCTTATTAGTTGGTTTTGTCCTAGCAGCTAATAAGTAGCTCAAAGTAATAACAGTTTTTGAAGCTTTCTTTTTTGTTTTATTCTTGTTGTTGTTTGTTTTTAACAGAGGTTAAAAGGAAAGTTTTAAAAGAAAATATTTTTTCCAGACTGAAGCTGAGGACTTGGCAAGAAAACACAAAATGTCTCCTGAATCAAAAAAACTTTTCAACATAATTATTTTGGGAGTCTCATTTATGTTTATATTCACTGCTTTCCAAACATGTGGAAATATTGAGGTAGGTGTGAATTTCAAAACATGCCACATTTCTACCACAGTTAATCATCCTCTCTTGTCTTTTGTGTCTGTTAAGAGTTGTTTTATTTGGGATTTTTTATTGTGCAAGAAACCTGACATTTTGTCTCCTTTCTTTTGGTTTAATGTTAACTAGATTAAGGTGGTTAACTGGATAATTAAGCAGTTCATTTCTTTAAGATAGCATAGCTACGTATGTAACTGTGCCCGATTGCTTGGAAAGTAGACAATCTTATCAAATGTTTGGACTTTAAAATAGTGTCTGTTTTGACATTTGCAATATTTAATAATTGAATTACATGGGACTTTCCATATTTCTGATCATTGTATATAGTCCCTTTCAAACTATTTGCCTAAGTTGTTATTATTAACCATACTCCTAGTTTTTCCTAGGGTGTTTTCCTAATCTAACAGATTTTTCTGCTTTAACAAACTAGACGTTGAGGGGGAGTATGAGGATAACATCTGACAAGTAGTCAGACTTTCACAATTACTAGAACTGCCAAGTCACCTTCCATCTGAATAAGTAATTTACTGCTTTAGTATCATGTATCTCTGTGTGTGCTGAAGTAAAATTGAGTGTAACATAATCCAAATTTACTATTAAAAGCAGATTGTGCTCTTGCTACTTAAATTTTTAGAATCGTGCTACTGACATAGTTAGCCCAGATCTTCTGGGTTACTGAGTTGTTGGAACTGCTTTCAATATTGGTTACGTGCTTGAAGGACAGTTAGATTTCAACATACCTCTTGAGCCTACAGGTCTTACAGCTTCTCTTTTCTTGCACGCAAGAAGAATCCTTTCTGGGCTCAGACATTCACCACGATACAGAAATAACTACTTAGGATAGTCTTTGTAAAAATCATAGAGCAGCATGATACTGTACATGAGTATGTAACTACAGCCCAGTGATCTTAGAAGTTCTGCAATTAATTCACAGCACCTCACTTAACTGGACGTAGTGATCATGCAATCATGTAATTTTTTGTCATTAAAGTCCTTACAAGTGACTTTCAATCAGACTTGCCCGCCTATCCAACTAATTGCATGGTCTCACGATCACTAAAGCTGATTCAAGCGGGAAAAAAAAGGAAGAGGGAAATAACGGGAAGCCGAAAAGAACGGAAATTCTTATCAGAAGCTCATAGTTAGGTCAAATTAAGAGTATTTTGAGACTTCTCCTTTTTTCCCCCACTCTTTACGTTAAGAGTCATACATATCTACCTAAGAGAGGTGTTTCATGAAAAATTTTAGTGAAATATTTTAAGGTCTCTGATGAAATAATGATACAATCCTAAAGTACTAATTACTGCTTCAAACAGATGTTTCCCTGCCTAATATCTCCTTCACCTTCATTGTGGTGGTGTTGTGAGTTGTAATTAACACTTTAAATTATTTTAAGTACTTTGTAGAGTTTATTAAAGATTAATTCTCATGTTCACTACTGACTTCAAACTGATGCAAGAGTTCTCAAGCTACAAGATACGTTCTAACATATTACCATGTATGATTTTCTCTTCACAGCAAACTGTTATCACAAATCTAAACAACACGTATTTTCATGGCAGTGGCTACACAAGGTAAGTTACACAGATCTTTGCTCCTTGCAGGATGAACCTGCTTATAATTTCCTCTGGTAGAGATATGCTCTCAAGAGATTGTAGCGTTCTGCTGACTTCAAGATTTAATAACGTACTTAAAGCAGTTTAAAACGTAGCCTTCTCACATCCACTCTAGTTCTACTCTGAATTATTTCTAGTTGAACTTCATACCTGTGTTGCATGGATTTTTTGTAGGGAGAAAAAACACCTTACGGTCATCACATTCTCAGTGTTTTATCTTAGGAGATGAAGAATGTTGAAGTTTTAAAATAAATTAAACTGCTAACTAAGGCCTTGGTTGTTTGCCCTTGTACAGCTTTGTCTATTTGTATAGGTTGTGTGGTGTGCATCAACTCCCAACGTAAACATGACAGGAGCAGTCAGACCAGCAGCAAGGCTTGAAGCCATGAAAAGCCATTCTGTTTGTTCATTGTGCAGGTGTAGCCGACCTTGCCAGGAACGATCAGGGACTTTTTGTACACCAAATTAATCTGTCATGTAGGAAAACCTGGTTGCTGCTTTGAAGGGTTTACTGTCTTAATCTAAACTAATAATACAGCTGTCACAAAATATATGTGTAAAATTTCTGTGGTATATTTGTCAGGAAATAAAAACCTCACTGATAGATGAATGAGGCTCTGGAACATTCTCCTCTAGAAGTATGGGGCACAAAATACAGTAACCATTGTTAAGGCACAGTTTGACAAATGCGTGTTGTAAATGACAAGAGGTGCTTGCCTGCAATAGTTTGGGACTCCATTCAGCAGTCCAAGAAACGCTGTACACTCCTATATTCCCATATAGAGTGCAACGGCTGAAGGTAGTGAACAGAAGAAAGGAAGGAAGTGTTTGACTATGAAAGTGACACAGTTCCTTAAGTTATGTATGTACTTAATTTGATACTGTGGAATTGACTGAACGTTCTTAAATCAGTTGCACTGATACCCTATATTTTATTTTAAGTACTTAACCATTTTTGTTGTTTATTTATGTAGCATGGCCATTATTTATGGAGTATTCTCTGCATCAAATCTTTTATCACCTTCAGTGGTTGCTATAGGAGGACCTCAGCTTTCCATGGTTGTTAGTGGCATATTTTATAGGTAAGTATTATTTTTAAAATTTTATCTGCTTCCTTTGAAATCTTTCTTTCATTTTGTCACACCTAAGGCCGCTGAGCCATACATGAAATTGTACCAGCTAAGGAAGGCATGTTGCAGAGTTAGTATCTCTATTAGTAGATGTATAACTGGAGCGTACTTCAGCCTACTGGAAGCAGAATGCATTTTTTTTCACAGCATTTCCAGAATTTGCTGACTGTGGAGTTCAGGTTGCGGTCTCAGGTTAATGAGTACATAAAAAAAATCCTACATGCTTAGTGGAGTAAAAAGATTATCTTTTTTCACTTGTGACCTGAACTATTTTCCAACATCACTTATGAGAGAGAAGCTGATTTAGAAGAAGCTAAGCGAGAGGTCTGATTGTTGAAGTGAATTGTCCATTTTAAGTCTATATTCAATAAACTAATATGTTCTATTCTAGCCTATACATTGCAGTTTTTATCCAACCTTCTACATGGGCTTTCTACACTGCTTCTGTTTTTATTGGCATTGCAGCTGCTGGTAAGCATTGTTCTTACCCTCCTTACTGTTCTTTGCTACATTTGAATATACCTTTAAAATATTTGTATTTCCTGACCGATATATTCTGTATATTTCAGTACTCTGGACGGCACAGGGAAATTGCTTGACTGTAAATTCTGATGAAAACACCATTGGAAGGAACAGTGGGATATTTTGGGCACTCTTACAGTCCAGGTAATCTTGATTTGTTGATGTTACTTTGGTTGTGTACACATTCTCCTTACATATTTTGATAAGCGGGAGACTGCATAAAAAATAGTCCACTGATACCTGCAGTCAGTGAAGTGGGAAGGAGAGCTGGAAGCAGCATTTCTGTTACTGTTGTGCATTATAGAACAATGAATGAAGGTTCCATATTGCAAGCATCTGCTTTTGGAGCGTCAAAACGATACATTACTGTTAGGGGAGTATTTGACATAGGTAACAGAAATCTTGTTGATTGTGGAGGGCTGTGCTAATTTGTGTCAGGATCCCGAGTGCCCTGATGAGCCCTAATGGTCCTGCACAGCCTCACCTGGGGCCTCCACCACACCCTTCCCATCTGCCCATGGGCCCAGGAAGCCCTATTTAAGCTTTGCCCTAAGCCTTAGCTTTTTCTGGAGCTGCATTGGAGGAGGGTGGATCTCTGTCTCAGCCATAGCCATGTCTATACCCTTCCAAGATTAGGCAATGTAAATGCAGATTTCCTCATTTTTGCTATGACCTTGTGTTTTGATTTTTGAAAATGAATAGCCAGCGTTATGGAGAAGAATCCTTTACTGTGGTTGAAGTTTTATATAGGTTAATTAGTTGGCATGGAGAGTGACTGGTGACTTTATTTCTTTCATAATTGCATAGAACAGTATTACTGTGGTTACCCCAAAAGTGCTCTTCACCTTTGTTGTCCCTTTTGTTTACAGCTTGTTTTTTGGAAACCTCTATATATACTTTGCTTGGCAAGGAAAAACTTACATATCAGGTGGGTGTTGCTTGTGTATATGGGAGGTCACACTTTAAAGTATGGTAGTGTGAATAAACATGAATTAATGAACTGGAAAGTGGCAAGAAACTTATACATAACAGCAGACAATTTTTTTTCCAATTTGTTGTTACACTGTTTTTGGAATATATTTTTGATTCGGTGTTTCGTGGTACTCATGGCTCTGGTATTACATATTTTGTTTTCCTGTGTACAATGCACTTTGAGTACCTTCTTTTAGGATATTATCTATTAAATTCTATTTTAGAATAAGGTTTTCCACAGTAGCTACTCTGGGATTTTTTCCCTGTGCAGACACAGTTATGCCAAAATATGTATATTTTGGGGGAAAGGTATTCTGGAATGGCTGTATGTTTAATATATGTGCCATTGCGTTCCAAAGTAACTTCCTGGTGTAGACTGGCTTTCTAAATTGTATTAGAGACTGATTAACCTCTGAAATAAAGAAAGGAAAATCATCCCGGTTCACTTAATGGCTGCACTAATCCTTGTGCTGGCACAAAGTAGGGCAGCAAGGCAGAGATGGAGATGCGCAGCTGGACTGAGTGGGCTGCTGCTGCTTAGGCTGGCAGCGTTGCTGGAAGAGTCTGTAAAGAGCTTAAGTCTTCCTTTTTTTGGCATACGTTATGAAGACTAACTTCCTGATGGGATTGTAACTAATGCTATAGTTTTTTCATTTGACATTGTGCTAGGCTGGTAAAGAGCAGGAATTAGAGAACAGTGGATTTATTAATGTTCTTAAGAAGCTGGATAGTGGTTGAGACTCAGTGGTTTGAAAGCAGGGGTTTCTGGGAACTGTTTAAGTAAGGCAAGGTGGGTAGGGGGATGAACTAAGAAAACTGCCATGGTAAAAACAGAGCAAAAACTAAATTTTTTTTTTTTTTTTTAAATTAAAAGACACAAGCCTTGCAGGAAAAACATCTTGTGAACAAATAGAGTTGCTTCTCTGTCCTGTTCTATGATGACGATGAGAGTTTTCCTTATTGTAGTCTTAAAGTGAGATATGTACAAGAATGGTCAATTCTTTTGATGTTTAAAAGTTGAGGATAACTTCTACTGTAGCTAATTGCGAGTAAGATGGTGACTCTTAAATGGTAATTAATCAGGCTGCAGGAGTACTGCCCTGGTGAGATGAATAATCCATGTCTCTGTTAGATTCACCTTTTGAGCTTCTCCACAGACATGGGCTCGGTAGCACAGCACAGGTGAATTGTTAAAGGCCATATTCCACATCCCTTCACCTTTAATACGAAGGTTTAAGTGTTGCTGAAGGTATTGGAGACACCTTGAGCCTTGTGGGCCTGAAATTTTGTGCGTTCTAAATTTCATAGCTCTTGCTAACCACAGAATGCAGTAATTAACTATGAGGGAGTTCTGCTGTTACGTTCCCCCCATCTTTAAGTGCCTTGAGACTGCTCTTTATAATGTTGATATCAGAAGATTTAACAGCAGTTAAAAATAAATTTATTCTTTTTTTTACTACCTGTATAAAATTATTACAGGCATCTCAAGATAAAGCACACGTTCTCTTTTTGATCTTTAATTATACACAGATTATTTTTAATTGACATAGAATAATTTTATATTTCCCTTTAACCTAAAGGGGAAATAAATACAAGCATAAGCAGTATCTTCAGCATCATACAGTAGTTCAGTCACAACTATTAGCTGTTTCTTGGCTTTTTTTTCCCTGCTTAATATTTGTACATGGGAGTGACTTCTGTATTACAGGCTTGCCTGTGCTAAGCAGGTTGGTTAGTGCAGCAGAGCTGGTGCACAGGGCAGAGCGTACCCTCCTCCAGCTGTACTCTGCGTTCTGGGTCGGTTACTGGGGTTTCAGTGGTTTTAGGCCTCTGTAGTTTACAAGCCTACCGGTTTATGACATTGCAGTGCTAATATTTCTGGTGCTGGTGAAGAGCTTTTTTAGAAATCTGAAGGGGTTTGGGGTAGTTTGCCCACTCTGAATTATAGAAGTCTTGAAAGATGTACTTTCTTCTGCTAGTAATTTATGCGCTTCATCTGTTAATGGGCTCCTCCTTGGTCATAGCCTTTGCATGGCAGGAAATGCGAGTGAGACTCTTTAATATGCCGATATTTTATTGGCATCATAAACCTGAGACAGGAACTTGCCAGCAGCTGGGTACCTTTTGCACCACATGAAAGGTAAGTTAGAAAATTAGTATGTGTTTTAAACACTGTTATGTAGTATGTCTGTCTTAGTTCTTTGAAGGTAGTTGAATAGGTTTGAATTCCTTTTGCACATCTGGTTATGACTCTTGTTTGTGTTTTCCACAGAGAGTGATCGCAGAACTGTCTTCATTGCTCTGACTGTTATCAGTCTTGTGGGCACAGTTCTGTTCTTTCTGATTAGGAAACAAGAGGACACAAAAGCTCCAGGGGAGGAAGATTCTACTAATGAAATCCTGGGGGACAGCTCGTAAGTGCCTATGACAGTAATATGTTGTCACACGTACTTATTTGTGCTCCTGCTTCTCAATGGAACATCACTTCCCCTCTGAACTGGAAACATAAATGTTATGAACAACCTGTAGAATTTGCACCTTTAATTAAAAAGTGTCTGTACCTTAACAAGTGAGAACTCATGTTCTTTATATGACACATTCTCAAGGGTGGAGCACAGTTCTTCCATTAATGAGTAAGTGGCTTTGGAAAGATATCATTTACCTCTTTTCTCCACTGATTATTATTAAAAATGTGTCTGCCTTTCATAGTCTGTCCTGCCCTCATCAGCCCAGTTTGAAGGCTGGAATAAGCAGAAATTGCTCCCTTTTTATAGGTTATGTTTTACGTACTGAAAAATGTTTTTCATATCTTCTCTATATATATATAGATGCCACCTGATGAATACATTAGAAGGGCATAGGTACACAGATTCAGTACAGTTTTGCCTGAGGTGTCAGTTTAAATATTTTTGCTTGATTTAAAGAACTTTGAAAATGTTAGAAAAGCATCAGTACGTATGCCAGTGAAAAAGTGGTCAAAGCTAAAAATGCTCAGAAGAAAGACTCTTGAATGGCATTCACTAGCCCAGAAAGCAAACAAATTTTGTAGTTAGTAGCTTGGATTGTCAGAAACTGTTAATAATATTAAATTTTAATAATA